AAATTATAATTTATTAATTATATATTGAAGTATAATTCTATTCTAATATTAAGACTCAGTAATTAGATTTTAATGATTTTAGGCTTGTTAGAAAGCTCTCATTGAGAGGATCATTTTGGTAGTTAAATCATCCAAATCGGTCTATTAAAACAAAAACTATTTATTATTATATTTTATTATTAAATTTAAAAAAAAATTTTTATAATTTTGGCTGGAATTATAACGTGATACTTCGGCCAACCCACCCACCCACTCTTTAATTATGTAATTTCTAGAAGCTCCCTTCCCTAGAGTTGAATCCTCAAACATGATACTTAGAAACAAGAAAAAGATTAGATCAAAAACTGCTTAAATGATATTGATGTAGTCACATTTTAGGTTCTGAATATTCTTAAAACATAAAGCCAGAGAGTTTAACATTTGCAAGATCATCACATGTACTGAGAATATATATTGAAAACATGCGAATATTGTGGGTTTATGAAGAATGATCTTGGAGGATCAAAGATGTTCAGATGTGATTCATGTGAAGTAGAAATGGATCAAAACATCCAGGAATATCTTGCTCAAATATTTGATGGAGGGTCAGGCTTTGGCCTGACTTTGGAACTTGAACCTACATAGGATATAATATGAATAGTAAAAACTAACTTTACTTATTCTTATTGGATTCAATTTCAAGGGCATGCAAGTACTTGTAATAATTTTCATGAATACTATAGCTGTAATTCTTGATTCTAATTTAATATTTAATTAATTCATGAATAAATATATACAGTCGACTCTGGATATAACAAACCTTTTTATAACGAACTCACTTTATAACAAACTTTTTTTTAGCAAATTTATTATAGAATTCGGTATAAAAACATAGTAAATTCTCTATAAGAAACTTTTTAAAAATTTTTACATATAGATCCTCAGGATTTGTTATATGCAGAATCAACTGTATATTTGAATTCAAATATATATATATATATATATTAAATTTACTCTTTAAGTCCTAGATTAACTAAAGTATTAATATCATTATCAAGTTGTTTCCCATTAATTTGAGATTTAAATTTAGAGTGTTACATATTTTCAAAGGTATACATTTTTATTAAAGTTGAAAGTATGTATAATAAATGTGTTTTTATATCTTCGAATTATAAATGTGAAAATTTAGGTCATACAAAGTCAATTTTTGGGTTTTCATAAAATTTTAAAAATAACCTGGTGACCCGACTTTTAACTTTATTTTCAAAAGCTTTATATATAAAAACAATTTTTTTTATAAACTTCTAAAAAAACTCACTCGGATGGTAAATGTAGTCAAAAATTTTTGCAAGATTTACTCGACCAGGTTATAAGAACCAATTTATTACATCAACATTATACTATATTTGAAATTTTTTTGTTGATTAATTACTAGTCTAAAACATTTTATACACTGGTCACTATATCAAGATCGCAGGGCATAAATCATTTATACCCTGGGCACTATGTGTATAAGCGGGACTTTCAGCCCCGCTTATACCCAACTGCCCAGGATATAACTATTAC